GCCACACGAGATATGACAAGAGTGCGATTTATTCTGTGGTTTATTTATCTTAAATTTCTCTCTCCGTTGGCTGGAATAGGGAGAACGATATCGGGGAATTCATTTAAAGCGATAAAGAGCTTGTGTTCTTTCGATTAAGCCGATGAATCCGAACAAACGCGACGTGAGACGTGGGCTTCATTCGCAGTTTAACGCGAAACTCATTAGCAGGCATTTGCACCGCCATGCCACGCCACGCCACGCCATGCCACGCCGCGCCACGCGTCACGTCGGCTTGTATAAAACCGCGCGTGCAACCAGTCATCATCGCGGTATTAGTCGACATTACTCAAATATTAAATATCCGTTATTCGCGTCGGGCGTAACGGCGGTCAGAGTTTATTTGAATTTAATCACAGGGCAAAGTGCCCGTATTAACTGGGATACATGCTCTCCGTATAATGCGGAGGCGTTGGAGAACGAAGAGGAGGAGAAGGAGGAGGAGGAGGAGAAGAAAGTGGAGACGGGGGAGGAGAGGACAGGAGGGAATTTAATATCCGTTATGGGCGAGCACATAACGCGTGCGGCAACGAATACGCGGATAGCCAGGTGGTCGAATTGTCCGAACAAATTTGCGCGCTCGCCGCCGCGAAAACGCATGGAAAATTTGCAACGCGCGACAGGCGAAGCACTGCCGGCAACGACAGTTCTGTAACGACAGCTCGGTTTATGCGGATCACTTTGTTCGACGTGGAAAAATTCCATGCGTCCGCGCCCGTGACGTTTTCGCGTCCGTCTCTTCTTCGTGTGATTTTACGGCAGACAGGTATCCGTACACTTGCGGCGTGGCGGAGCGAGATTTGACGTGGTTATCAAACGCGCACGTCACACCCGGTCGGGATGATTCGTTGCTGCTGTATCGGGACTCACGAGCTGTTATTACAGTTCATCTGCTCGCGTGCACTCAAATATTTTCACGATAAATATTTGCAAGGTTTTTCACGATACATTTATACGAGATACGCTTCCACATGTGTAGCGGTTATTTATCTCGCCATTGCTTTTCGTCGAAGCTGTCCGAACCATCGGGAAACTTTTGAAATACATGGAATCACATACTTGTTGTATATTAAAAAAAAAAAAACATTACTTTAAACCGGAGCATTCATTTTTTAACAAGATTTTGCAGCATGCAGAAGTTTGTTAAAGATGTTTTTTTTATAATATTGCACTCACGTTTTCTCGATACCTCGTCGCCAATATTGGATTTGTGATTCATGATGTAAACATGCGTTGAAATCCTATTGTATCTTAAAATCAACATTTTATTGAAAGTATTATTTAACAATATTTTTAACATATATCAGTATTTAAATGTCACGATGAAGGGATGAACGTCCTCGCAGTTTACACGCGAGGATAAAAACCCTCGTATCCGGTGAGACCCCGGATGAAGGTTGAAGGCACTCGCTTCTCGAAACGTGGAGGCGAGAGGGAAAAAAATTGGACGAGATCGTTCTCCCTCGCGGCCACCGACTGCCTGCTCTTCGCACTCTCGTATATTCGCGAGAGATCCGTTTTTGCTCGCGACTTCTTTTTATCGGCGTCGCCATTGACGTCAATCTCACTCCCATAAATGCCGTCGCACATGTGCGCGGTTTCGTCCGACAGTTTTCGTGCACGATAGCCTCGCGAACGAAGGCGCGAACTCGCCGTCCGTTGCTGTTGCGCTTTAAATAGCCAATCAAAATTCCACGTTGACCCACTTTATGATTGACCAACGGCGCTACGTGTTCGCGACTCGACGATACGGCTTGATAATCGTTCCCGAACGTGATCGCGATCCGATGCGTACGTCGCAGGAAGCTATTATCGCTTCCATGCACCGGCGTGTCGTCCAAATTGCATACGAAGCAAGCCGCATGAATAAGGGAGTTCCGATGCTCCACGCTCAGCGCAAAGTGATCTGATAAAAGTTCACATTAAACCCTATCTCGATCTCAACTTTAAAAACACGTTTCGAGAGACAAGATATATATATCTATCTTCTAGACGCACGTAGGAAGCGAGGCGATATTCTATTTCTTTTGCTTGATTGGTACGCGGAAAGAACGATCTTGCTGCTGAAGTCTAAATCTAAAAATTTCATCTGAAAATAACGTCGGCGAGTCATCAAAATAATTATGATTTAAACATGATAATTTATAATACTGCAAAATTTTTTTATATTCTAGCAGTTTGATCGTTCTACATAATTTTATTCCAATAATATTATTTTTAGATCCGTATCTGGTTGAATTTTTATAGTTTAAAAATGTTCTTTCCGTCTAGAAAAATGACTTACAAAAACGACAAATGTATTGGGAACTTCTAAAAAAAGAGATACTTGTAGAAAAGATATTAGAAACGAGCAATTGTTTTCGTGAGAAATAAAAAATTATACGGGAAGTTACGCTTTCTGATTGTTACTTTCTTGTATAATAATAAACATCCATAAAGATGATTAATCGTCTTTTTGGAAAGCAGGCGTTTTATATATATATATATATATATATTTTTTTTTTTGTAGAAACAAACATCAAATCGGCAATTTACGATCGCTATGTTGAAACGTTAGAATGGATGACTCGACAAATCATAGACCGAATATTTTATTTCGGAAACACGTCGACAGTTCGTGAGATATCGTATCGTATGACCGATAAAATACTTCAAGAACATTTTTAAACGGGGAGACTGTTTGTTTCTCGATCAAATTTTGTAGTATCGGTGTATCGGAGATTTATTATCAGGGAAATAATTGCCGTTGCCGAATATGCATTTATGTCCGGTTTATCGATACCTGTATCAATTGTGCGCGGCTGGATGCAATTGAAATCCAGTTTTCCGCGGCGCGCTCGCGAGAAGCGGAGGAAACGTTAAGCAATAATTTCAGTTCACATTTACCACCTACACAGGAAAAATTAGCGGGCTTAATGTGTAGTTGACAGAATGACGAATCGCGCCAGCCAATCCCTCTTCTCGCCTACATGCGCAATGTAGTTACCGTGCTCCGATGTTGAAACGCAGCAGCGTATAAAAGTAATGAGTCAACGAGCATAAAGCTAAATTATTAATTAATAAATAAACGTGATAAATTAAGTAATTTAAATATTAATGTCATGATAACGATGAGATAGCTATAAATTGAAATTTATAAAATAATTATTAGCTCCAAAATTACCGCCGAAGTAATTGTTAATCCCAAGTCAAGCTGATAATATGAAATTAATAAATTCAATAAACCTCCGACATCACAATATATCTATGCGAGTCACGTTTGTCGTTTATTTGGAAAAGTTGACGAATAAAATGTCGGTGATATTGCCATGTTCTGTTAAAATAACACATTACATATATTATATCGGTCGCATTGCGACATTTAATTTAATTTATTGTATTGCCCTTTATTCTTAAAATAAATTGCCTGTAAATACAAATTACTTGCTTAAACTTTTAACGTTTAGCTTTTCGGTAATTACTCTCGCTCTTCTTCGAGCACCCCAATCTTCGTATTCGAAGCTCGCTTCTTCCCGCGCGAATGAATGCAAATGGCAGGAATGGCATCGTTTCGGTCAGAATCGAGACTTCGTTCGCTCGAGTCAACAAAAACAAATCTATGCTATGCTGAATGGGTCGATAGTTTTGGTACTCCGAGAGCGCCGAGAGGACGGGGCCGCGGCAGTTAGCCGAATTCGCGAAAACAGAGGGCCGGAGACCGGGAGCTGCTGAATTTACTCGTTGAAATCCGTACCGATGTCAAGGACTTTCGTCGATGTAATTACGTTGCTACTGCAGTGCCAGCGAGGCTTGACATTCATGTAACAAACAAGAGTAGTTTTCCACGGCGCAACCACGAATGCTGCAACTGGAAAGAGTAGCTTCACATTACGTGTCGTTGATCGCAATGTTTGATTGAGCTCAAAATATTGCTCTATTTGCGGAAAGAGCTGCTCTGATTTTCGGGAGAGTTTTGCATACCGAATACCGATATCAGTGCTCGATTGGCTTCACTATTGAAATATTTCGTTTTCCGAGTACATTTCGAGTACGTTTCCAGAGGGAAACATAATTAAATACGTTCTATTATTTACTTTAATTAATTTGCGCTAGTGAAATCTATCACTACGAATTTATAATGTTTGTAACGTCATGAACAAATAGTAATAATTGAATTTTATGAAATAATTTTCGAACTCTTGTTAGAATTTCGATGTCGGTATGTCCCGTGAATTTACAGCGACTTCTTTCCGGAGGAAAATTGAATATTTTCGATCACGGTGCAAAAATTTGTGACAGCGACAAATTTGTTTATCGATAATGAGGAATACGTACGTAATGGAAACGCTTCGTTTCATCAGTAGTTGGATAATTGGCAATCGTTGAATAATTTTTAACGACAAAGCGATCTCTCGGCGAAACGTTAAATATCGCATACGACACACTTTTTTGCATGCACATCTCATAAGCTCTTTTTGGCACATTGTTTAATTTTCATGTAATGTATAGAAGTAAAAAACGGCGATGTCCGGCGTTCGTAAAAAGTACAAGAGCAGGCAGCTCGGATCGATACACCAACGTTCACCAAGTATATTCATTAATGCGGAAGCTTCGTAAAAAGCTTTGTAAAACTCTGTATTACGATGTAGACTCCGATGCACTCTTTTTTTCAACGTCGCCTGTCGCTTGTTAACACTTGAATAGTTCTGCAAGTGTCACTTGACTTATAAAGTTAGGTATTGAATTTAGTGCGAAGTAAAAGCACAAAGTGCCTTTAACACTGCAGGCAGAAAAAAATCCAAAATCGTTTTATCAGAGAGGAAAGTAAATTTTAAAAGTTTTATTATTAAGTCATATCTCAAATTTGCAGTAAATATGTGCCTTTCGATAAGAGTATCGAGAAGATTAAGATTTCTATTACGTTATCATTCTACAAAGGTAATTTTTGGACATTAGTTTAATTAATTAATTAATTGTTACAGGTCCGTCCTCAGACTTTAGCAGACACTCTCTGGTGAGACCGCGAGTCTATCACGGCAGGACAAAGAGGCAGATCTCATCGACCAAAGAGAACGTGAGTTTAGTCACTTTTCAAACACTTTTTAAGCGAAAGAAACACAAGAGATTCTTAAAATTCCATGAAACGATGTGCACAAACTATATTCCGAAGCTTTTAAAATGCTGCTTAACTTCGGTCGCGCTATCATTATATGAAAAAACACTCTATATTCAAGGGTTCTACGGATCAGGGTTCATCGTCCATCCTCTTTTTGTCATGTCGTGTAACACTTGACCCGTAAATATGAATAGTGATAGCAGTGGGATATTTTTATATCAAGATTTATTCACGATCATTTTCTCACACAAATTTTGTCAATATATCTAGCCTTCCTTGTGGATATTTTCCGCTTTTATCACGATCCACTCTCAGAGATTTCATGTGAGAAAAAAAAAATTATGCGAACGCGTTTCTACGACGTTGTTTGTAACGTAACGTGCGCTTTATCTTCACTGTCGTATTTACAAGAAATTACAATTTAGTTTACCAAACGTACCGGGAATTTGGAGAAGGTCAACGCCCGCGATCTGCGGATCTTCTCTCGGCGTAGCGCATTGTTAGCTATCAGCCGCGATTGCCGAATACCTTTTTTTTTTCCCCGCGAGTTTTTGCGCGACTGCACGCGGTGTTCGCCATTTGCTCGGGCGGATTACGATGCGAAACGCGCATCGGCGACGGGTGCAACAATTTCAATGCAAATGTCGCGGCGTGCAGCGAATACAAAACCCGCGAGAGTCGCAGCGCTATTAGATAGGACGGCGCCGCGAACAGAGAGAGTGAAAGAGAGAGAAAGGAAAAGAGAGAACGGTTTGTCCGACGTTTGCCATTGCCAATGACGAATTCGGAAAAATCCGTCGGAGGAAATACGCAACAGAGAGAGAGAAAGAGAGAGAGAGAGAGACTGCCATTTGAAAGGCAGAAATATCGGTTTTCTTTTGATGCCCATCGAAGTGGTAATTTTAAAACTTACTTT